TTTTTTTTTTTTGGTGTTTTTTTTTTTTTTGCTCCCCGTTTACACGCAGTTTGCTCAGCCATTTTCTTTTTTTTTCCCCTTCCCCTGACTATGTAGCAAATATTTAAAAGAAAAGAAAGAAAGAAAGAGAAATTCAGACGTCCTTTTGCTCATTTTGATGCTCGTGAACCGTAATTTTTAGAAGGAAGAAATAGAAGGAAAAAAAAAAAACCACCCCGAAGTTTTCTCCCCAAGGACCGAGACCATTCCACAAACTGAAGTGCTGCCAGCAGCATATGCTTTTTGCAAGAATAATTGAAACCATTAACTGGAGAGCACAGAATTCTTTTGAAAGTCTGCCAGTTATTTGCAAGTAACTTCGGCAGTGGCACAAAATATAACACTTATATTTTAACTTCTACAATTGCACTTTTAGGAGCTGGCCTCTAATTTGATTTTCAGTTGTTCTGATAAGATTTCTATTTTATGATTGGCTTTATGTTTAATTCTTGTTTAAACAAACACGATTTGACTTAAATGAAAACCTAAGTGCTGATGAATAGGAGTTCTACCAAAGCAACAAGTTAGTTATTTCTTCACGTTTAACTTGAATTCACTTTTTTACCCTTTTTTTTAAAAAAAAGAAGAAAAAAAAAGATCGGCAGTAAATACTGCCCTGAAGAAGGGTGCGATTGCTTGCATTTTAATTTTTGTTTTTTTAATATGGCTGTGAACGTTTCCCTGGTTCGTGATACAAAATGGCTGACGTTAGAAGTGTGTCGAGAGTTTCAGAGAGGTACTTGTTCTCGGTCTGATGCAGAGTGCAAGTTCGCCCATCCGTCACGGAGTTGCCATGTGGAAAATGGTCGAGTTATTGCCTGCTTTGACTCCCTAAAGGTGAGGACTGTCTAACGCGTGCATTACCTAAGCTCACTTGCTTTTCCTCCTCCTCCTCCTCCTCCTCGCGGCTCGGCGTGCCGGGGTGTGGGGTGTGCAGAACGGCTGCTTGCCGCTCTGTTTCTGCGGGGAGGAGGATGCTGGTGCGGGATGCAGCTCCTGGGGGCTGGCTGAGTCTGGCACCAGGTGCAGGTGCCTGGGGAGGGAGAGGATCGGATCCAGAGCGTTTCCCGGTGGTCGCTCGGGTCTGGCAGAGCTGTCCTCGAAATGGAGAACGCACGTTGCGGGCAGCAAATGGAACCGAAATGAGAAGAGTAGAGAACTGAAACCCACTGCTTTAATTTGTGTCCAGAGCACATCGGCTGTGCATGCGGCGCGGGGATCTGAAACGTGCTTTTAATGAGCAGAAAGGAAAGCAGCGTTTTAAGATAATGAATCAGCTTTATGCGTATTTCCTGGAGACAGAGTTGCAGATGCACTCGGATGCTGTCCTGGAGATGAGAAACAGCCGAAATATTTGGAGAGCAGGGCTCCTAGAGAAATGGGCGTTGGGGAAACGCTTTCTGCGAGGGGCACGCGAACGCGATGGCTCTGCTGGGCCTGTCTGAGTTACGGCTGAGCCTTTTTGCCGGTGCTGGTCTTTGCAGAGTTGATTTTGCAGGCAGCGAATGGCTCTTGGTTTCTTGGCGGAGCTCCAGGGGTGACTTTCAGGATTTACCAAATAGCCGGGTTCTGGGCCTGGGCAGTGGGACGGGGGGCTCACGGGGGGTGAGCACCTCTGTTCAGGGTCGCTTCACCGCAGTTGTCAGGAAAGGAGCATCCACTTTTATTTTTTTCTTTTTCCCAAAAGTGCAGTTCCTCAAAGGTGTTTTACAGAGGGTGGTGAAAGCCCTGAGACAGTATGGATAACTGATTGCTTTTGAGAACGCTTGACACTGTGTTTAATGTTTTGATCAGAGTAATTAACCTGTTTGAGTTTCTAGAAGGAATCTGGTAAATTTTACAAGCTTAAAAGTTTTTCCTTGAACTTCAGTTGCTGCTTGAAAGGATTTGGGTTTATTTTTACGAACATAATGAGTAACAGAACTGGTGGAATTATATATGCAGAGGTTCAGACTGGGGCAGGATCCGGTCTAACATGGGTTTACCCATTTTATTACTGTTTGTGGCTTCTTCATATTTTCACTTCTGTTCCCTTTTACCAAGAAGCTCAAGCTTCCTGTTTGAATTCGGTTTTGCTCTTTATTAATCTGATTATGTGCAATGACGCTAGTTATACAGTGACTTTCAAATGTTCATTTACATTGCCGGTTTGCTGACAGCGAGAGACAAAAATATTTTTATCGGAGGAGAAAAAAGTCGTGTTCCTTGTGCCCTTGAAACTTTTGAATTGTAGCCAGTGGCAGTGCAGACACTTTGAGGAGGTGAATGTGTTTACATTTTATAGCATTCATTTCTGAGCTGAAAGGGTAAAGCGGTGCCGTCATCCTGCGGAGGGTAGTACCGTGCCCCGTGTGGAACCTGCCTGATGTTTGCAGCGTCCCGGGGCTGTCCCCCTGCGCAGCCACCCAGCCTGGCTGGGCTCTGCACCGCGCCGTTGTCTGCTGTCACCGGTGGGTGATGCTTCCCCGCGGGTGCAGGTCGGGGCGCGGTGGCTGCAGCACACCCAGGCTCTCCGAGCCGGCCCTTCCCGGCACAGCTGGCACCGCCAGACTGTGCAGGCTCCAAGCCCGGGGACTGTGCAGGACCCAAGCCTGGGGGCAGCTGGGGTTCAGATCCCACCCTCGGGCGTGAGCAAACACTTCTCCTGCTTCAGCAGCGGGGAGCGCCGTCTGGAGAACGCAAAAAAAAAAAGCCAAAGGAGTAGGATATGATCTTCTAGAGCTCAGCGTGTTTCCCGTGTAACTGGCTGTTAAATAATGTTCTTGTTGCAGTTTCCTCTTGACACAGGAGCAGGTGCCCAGTATGTGCTAGTTAAGTGGCCTGAATTTTCTAGTGAACAGATTTTTTCCATATTTTCCAGGCTCAGAAAAGCCTCGTGGAGGGCCGACAGCTCTGGCTTTGGGAAGTGCACTGGGAGGAGAGATCAGAGCGTGCAGAGCACTTGGCTGGGGGCTGACGATGGGGTTGTTTCTGCACCCCACTTCTCAAACAAGAAGTGGGTCTTGGAGCCCGGCCTTCCTGCAGCCCCGTGGCTGCGGTCCCGCTGCGCTGTGGGGAGGTGCAGTCTGCGTCTGTGCACCACGCGTTTCCCAGTGGAGATAACCGCCCTGGTGACTGAACTCTCGCACAACGGTCTTTCTGTTCTCGGGCTGGAGCTGGGCTTGCAAAGCCCTGTTTGCCATGGTATCGAGGTGCTCGTGGTCATAACAGTGGCCTCCCTTACTGGTGACAAGAGAGATGTCCCATTCTCAGACCTGTTAAGAGGAGGCTTTTCACGCCCATCCTGTGGCCGTCTTTTTGTGCTCAGCCACTGCTTCCCTCCGACAGCTGTTGAACACTGACCCTCTCTCCTGCGAAGGGCTCCAGAGCTGCTTAGAGCTCTTTTCATCTTTTCACGCCCTGCACTAGCAGAACGTCTGTGTTGCTTTATTGGAGACAGGATATAGGAGGCTTTCCCGTTGTCTTGCTGTCACCCAGGGCTTTGTTCAGAGCTTGCTTATCTGCATCCATTGTGTAGTGCCCTTGCTTGTTTTTTTTCTCACAGACCTCTTAAGCCTGAACAATGCCTTCATACAGGAACTTCTGATAACCCAGCATACAATGGTTTCACCTCGCTGGTCAGGTCACGCGCAGCATCTATACGCTTACTGCATCTCACTTCCCCCGCCCCCCCC